CTGTAGAGTGGCCGTAAAAGCCGGTCAACTGGGTCTGCCAATGACTTCAAATTTAATCACCATCGAAAGACTTAGAAGTCGGCTAGGGTTGACGCGAATTAAGATTGAGGACTCGGCTCTGGTCAAAAACATGCTGTCGTTTCAGAATCGAGAGTCTCAACCGGTAGATTTGGCAGAGTTCGCAAGCAATTTAAACGTTACCGTTGAGGATGGTTCACTGGTCAACCTTTTTAAAATGCATCTAGAGAATGAACAGTTGTCGACCATAGATTTTAAAAAGTACTTGTTGGCTGAATATATCTTGCAGAAAGCCACCTCCAAAGATGATTTAATTATATTGGCTTTTAAGTTGTACGGTGAATATTTTGATAAACAAATGTTCGAGTACGTGTTGAACCTTGTCTACAATCTTCCAAAATCTGAAGCATCTGTCATTTACAACGAAATAACTGACAAGCCGAATGAAATAAAATTGTGTAATTATTATTTATTTTTATTAATTTTTGACAAGTCATACGTGCTATGTTGACATTCTTCCGTCAAATAAAAAATTAAAAAAAAAATTAAATTATAGCGGATTATTTAAATTACGGGAAAAAGTATCCTGAAAAAATGGAGTCTTTGCAAAATCACAGTAAGAATTCGGCACCCAGAACCATAACAGATTTTTCTAGTTGTGGGCAATCGTTTCATGGCGCTATGGACGACGACAAGAAGTATCAATGACATACGGAACATTCTACAAGTACAATAGTACCTGTTGCAGACTGATATAAAAATTTATTTTTAAGGTTTTATATACACTATTTGTTATACATGTATAATATATAATATTTTGTTACTTAATGTGTATTTAAGGATTATTTACATTTAAGAACTTCCGTGCACTACTATAATATAATACTGGTTATAGTTCTCTAATGAAACCTACAGACGTTTTGATTGTACAAAATATAAATATCATCAATGTTGCTTATATATGTATAGTCTAAAATGTTGGTCCTTATATTATGACATTATCTTATTGAGTATACCAATATTTAGTGCTGTTACCTATGTCCTATATTATAAAATGTTTTGTGTGCCTATATATAATATATTTAATTAATATATTACATACTATTATGATACTAATACAAAGTTTGCTACGGTGTCTTTATCGTGGATTAGTTATTTATTTTTAAACCATATTGAGAAAATATCGCCAAGTTTGCACCAATTGATATTATATACCTATCTATTATGTATTATATTATTTTATAACAGCCAAAATATCTGGATTCGCCTGAGATTTAATTTCTGTTCTTATCCTTTGTGACAAACAATAATAATATTATTTATACATATTACAACAATAGTTATTTACCAAATATTTGTTAACATGTGTTTATTTTAAAAATATAACTTGTTCATTCAAAATAAAAATTATATCATTTCATTTTACTTTCTAATAAAAAGGTGGGTAAATGAGTGCTGTTCTGTTATACATTAGGTATCAAATCTGCATTGGATGGGTTAAATTTGAATTCAATGATGTATCTTTGTATATAAAAATATATTTTAAGCGATGGATGACACCATGATGGTCTGTCATAAGTTTAACATATCAAACACAAATCTAACACAATTTTTATTTTTTTGTTTAATAAAATTAAAAATAAGTAATAATAATTAGTTATGACTTTATGAGTTTGAAATATGAGGATAATTTATTTTAAATTTGTTAATAAATTTCGATAGAAATTTAATAAGCTTCTTCAGACTTATTTTCTTAAACCAGAAAATTTTCGGTATCCAAGTGGCTTAGCATGAAGGCAATAAAGACACCTCTGCCCATACCTTTTGTTAAGTAAATATTTCTGTTTTTTTTTTTTTTTTGCTGTGTTTTGGTTAGTTTTTTGAGTACTTACAAAAAAGATTTGGAAATTTCTAGGTACCTAACTAGTAACTAAAATGTGCTAGACAACCCTCAATATAATTAAAGATTGAATTGACTTCTACTCCAAAGGTTCTGCCAAGGGTGGTCAAATAGGGGGAGATAAATCCTTTTCTCCATTACATTTTTATCAATAGTTTAATGGGTGGTGATAAATTCTCCTGATTTTTTAATTTAGTAAACTCTCCTGAATACAAAATGTTTAGTTGAAAAATATAATAAATAAATTTCCTGAATTGTTTTAAAATTTTTATGTCCATATTATTATAAAAATGAAATTTAAATATAGATTCAATTTAATTAAATTATTTTGTTTTATTAAGATATATATCGACTATAACTATACTTACATCTTAAAAATTTGATTTATAGTATTATTTTATTAATATTTATTATAATTTATATACTTAAATTTTTTAAAACTCATATGTTCACATTATTATAAACATTAAAATTCAGATTAAGACTCAAAAAAGCTTATAGGTACATATCCTTCAGATAATACAGGTAGGTACTGAAATAGATTTGGAAGACAAAAATCGCCGTATTAAATAATTATATAGTATTAATATTTTTACAAAAAAATAAAATATTGCAAATAAAAATAGTTTTTTTTTTTTTTTTTTTTATAATTTGATAAAATGTGAATTTGATGACATAACCTAAATTAGGTAAAATTTTTGATAAAATTTATTTTTTATTTTTTGATAATAAAAATAAGAATTATCTCTATAGCCTTAGAAGTAACTAATAAATTATGTAGATACTTATTAAATATGTGTTAGATAAAACAAAATATTTGTTTAAGTAAAGTAAATAATCAATTAACAATTTAAGTGTAAAACATTTGTATCATAAAGATATAAAGTATAAACTATAACTTTTTTAGATTATTTTTCATTTATTTTATAGTTAAATTAAAAAAAAAAAAAAATATGTTGAAAATTCATTGTTTTATAGTTAATAATTCACCCAGTAAAGTATTATATTAACTGGCAAAAAAAAAAATTGATTTACTTCTACCCAAGTATCTACATAAGTACTCCTTGTTACCTATAAGGCTATAAATTAACTTATACGTACCTACTTTATGTTTAATTAATAAATTGATTTATAATTCTTAAAGTTTATTTTCAATGTTCAGAGTACATGTTTAAAAATCAAATTCATGTTGCTAGATTTAAAAATAACACATCATAAAACAAAGACATTCATTAGTCATTAGTCATTATTTATTACTGTTCAAATCTGAAAAATATTTGAAATCGTATATAGCAGTGCTATCTATCTACAGTCTTTACACAGCATTGCAATCGTAGGAAATTTTGCATGGTTTTTACAAACAGCTAAAGTGACGGCGACAGATAGCGTTACTATTACTATCTGCCAGAATTTAAATTTATTTAAAATTTTTTTTAAAAACAACTGAATCTAATTCTGATGTAATTGCGGAATTCAATCAAGTGATTTGGAGGAATTTAAGTCCAAGTCCTATCTTTTCAAACACTTAATTATTTAAATGGATAGAATATAACTAAACAATTTGAATGTTTATGTTGGTAAATATAAATAATTATTAGGTTTTCGATACTGCAGTTAAGCCGCTGTGGCGCGAAACCCTTTCTTAATTATATTAAAACGACAAAATGGCAGTCATCTACTCGTCATCATTGCCATCGCCAGTTCTTTCGGTCTCTATTTTCTGGATTTTCCGATCAACTACGTGTCAGCACTCTGCAAGTGCGTTTTGTAGATGCTGTATTTATTTATAGTTTTTTTTAGATACAGTGCGTGATTCATAAGTGTATATTACTTGATACGGTGATCGAATTACTTGTATCTCTTAATGGTGGAAATATCCAGGTACGTGTAAATGAAAGCAGTTCCAATGAAAATTCAATATTTCTCATGGTTAAGGGAAACACAATTTTAACGGTTGTACCTATACTACTTTCGTTCTAATAAAAGGTGGATTTTGCAGATAGCAAATTAAACAGGATTCCTACTTGCGTCCCATTTTGCCTATTTTTGGGACTCGACTTGGCATATTATATTCTTCCTATCTGCTATAATAGTCGTGACCGAGTTGCTACAATAATATTGTTCATATTATAATAGTGTACTTATGTGTAAATTTTCTATTATCATGTGTATATAATTTTCAGCATTTGCGCACTTAATACAAACAATTATATAATATATTACATCGTGCAATTGAATATGCACTATGGCAATGTCCGGTTGTCGACAAACAATTTCCAAGCCCTATTTATAACATTGAATGCTTTGAAAAAACTAACAGCTGATATCTAATTTGATAGATATTCCTATTATTTATTATGATTGATTAGTTCACAGTGCTACTTATTAATTTTTCAGTACCTACATATTAAATAGTGTTCGATTACCATAATACCTAACCTTCACCGTTGGTGAAGTGTGATATCAACACATATTTACTATCCACAAATGTGAATTGTCTTACCTTTATAATGTAGAATTACTACTTTGTCATTTTTTATGCTATGTATTTCTGATTGCTTTGAGGAATTATTCGAATAAATCTTCAGTTGGTTTTGTAACGAGTACCACCACTCTTTCTTGAAGTTGGGATGGTAATATGTTAGTCGCTCCTTGTGTTTTAATGTTATATTTATTTTTGACGTGTCTTCAAAGAGTTTCTATAGTGTGTGTGTCTCAGTATTGGTTATTGGATCAATGAAATTTTCTGAATGATTAACCGTTTTATGGATAAACCAATGTTCATTTAAGTAGAGTACGCACGTCATTTATCGGAATATATAGTAGTACCGTACCTTGTTCAAATTCATTTAATATAATTGGTAGTAAGGTATTTCGATTACGCTTATTAGCTTTAAAATAAATCATTTCTCTAAAATGCCATCATGTTTACAATATAGACCAAAAATTCATGGTTCTTGAATTTATTGTTCGTAATTTTGATTATTTATTAATTCGTCTTCATCTGAACTCTCTTCATTTTCATCAGACTTTTCCTCAGGTTTGCGATCTCCAAGAAGTTATCTTCCACAGTTATATTTATTTTTACCTTAGAACAAGGATTCATCTATTACTAGGCCAGAACTTCCAATTTTCTTACAGTTTTGAAATTTAGCTACTGCTATTTGTACGTTTTGACATAATTTATACGATGTTTCCGAATTGTGGACTAAGTGATAAAAGTTATTTAAGTTGCGGATGAAATCTAAAAAGATAATATACGAATTGCGGACAAACGAACAATTATTATTTTTGATATAACGATCGTGGACACTGGGAAATTACTGTTTGATATTGACAATATTGAGACAGTTGTTAAAAATATGTTTGATCAGTTTAACCACAATTTATTCATGCTTGCTTAATATTTGTCGTCTTTCTGATCGTCTATTTTCTATATAAAAATGTATAATGAAAAACTTAATTTTCTTCTATTTCATGCAAACCTTAATGGAATATTTTATCGCAGTTACCCTTTATTTACCAATTGATCGACGCCTTAAGATAAGTACAGATACGAAAATGAATTGCACCAACTGCTGTATAAAATTTAAAATTAACAAAAAAAACTGTCAAAAAGGAGCATTTATCAGCAAACGAATATTGCAATATTCAAGTGGTGAAATCAGTATTATATCATTTATAGAGATTGTTTCAAAAAAAAAAAAAAAAATTTGCTTGAATTCTGAAAAAGTGTTGAAGGGCAACTCACGTGATTTTTACTAAAAAAAATTCTAAACGCAATTAGAATTATGACAAAGAAACTCGTGTCCGTAATTGTTATGTTATAATATTGACCTGAATAATTATTTGTTAGCAACTAGTATGTGTCCAAATTATATCAGTCGACTATAGTTGATTTTGATTTTTTCGTAAGCACCTTAGCTTGTATTACTTTTATTTGAAATACCTAATTCCAAACAAGTTCTACGATATCGCACAAATTTAAACCATTGTTATACTTCTCATTTTTATCCATATACGTAAAAAAATTATTGATTTTGCGTATGGAGTAAAATGTTTGGCACCCTTTATTTTGTTCATAAATTATACATTTTTTTTCAAAATATTACCTTCTGAATCACATTTTTGACTATTTTTCAGAATTTTTTCCAACTCATCTCCACAAACTGTTTGGTTTTTAATTTTTGTACATATTTGGTCGATTGATAATAAACCACGTATGTTTAAAAATGTTCGCACATCTCTTCATTTTGATTTATGTGTCAATGTAAATAACTCATAGTTGACAAACTCATAAAAATAATTAATAAATAATAACAAATAAATCACAGTAAAACCACTTATAATCGACATGACTCACAAATACACACTAAACAAGTATAATATAAAGGTATACCTATTAACCTACCTAACCTATTAAG